TCTTTAAAAAGAGAAACTTTTTTCTCTTATGACTTTCTCGGCATATCCTATTTTATTGACTATTATTTAAGATTTCAGCGCTTAGATACTATAGAAAACGATGAGCGAATGCAATGAGGTCTCTGAAGCAGTACAAGCAAAGGCAGTAGCTCTTCAAGTGTACAATGAATTTTTACTCATGTATACTTTAGCTTCAGTAATTCTAACCGCTTTTAACCCTTAATCTTTTACAAGTCCCATATTCACGGCTGAAATCGAAGTTAAAAAAAACAACCACGTGTACGTCTAGGAATCTGCAGTATACTGTGTTAAGGTTATTTCTTTATAGATTATGAATGGAAGGTTTTTGCCCATGAATGGAAACATTCATGTGTAAAGGATGTTTGACTAGTGCATAGTATGTTTGAAATACTTACTGATCTACAAGTGAATTGCAGTGGAACATTTTTCTTTGTCAGCTAGAAAAAAAGCATTCCACAGCATATTGTATCAAAAAGAGTTTCATAGTGCTGGCATACAAGCTGAAATTTAGTTCACTGTAGTAGTAGATAGCAGATGCAGGGAAAGATATAGGCTCACAAACCCTTTTGGGCCAGAGGGGCCCATTGGATAAGAAAAATAAGTTCTGCATTAGCAAATTGTTTCCTGCAGATGCTACATTTTAACTGAACTTTTTCAGAAATATCTACAGTTGGCATTGTCTGCAGCACATATTCATTGAATTGGTCAGATACCTGAATATGTCACAGAAATGCATTTTTAAGAGCGTCTCTTTTTTTAATGTATTCTCTTTAGATGGATAAAGCTGTTTGTATGAAAGTAATGTGAAGATAAAGGGTTTGAATAACTTTTTTATTATTCCAGGAAAAAGTGCAGCATTTTTTAGTTTTTATTAATACAGGTTGCACCTTTTGTAAACTGGGACTCTCTGGTCTAGCAACATCTGTGGTGCACAGATGTTCCAGGATCAGTGTGTCCTGGCATGCTACAGGATGGGCTGGGAGCCCAGTGCTATGTGGGGGTGGGGTGATGTGCAACTCACCTGAGCTGGGAAGCCCGATATACGTGGCTCAGCTGAACTGTAGGGGGGAATCAAGAAGCCCAGTGGGGGCAGTTGGCAGCCAGCCAGAAATGACCTCCCCTGGTCCAGAAAAATCCCTTATCAGGGACCAGTCATATCCTGAAGGCCCAGGGCGGTCCAACCTGTACGTGTTCTCCATAGCTGGGAAATTTGCTATTCCATTTGACATTTTGTAAGCTAGTTAATGAGTTGCTCTGCATATTTGCATATTCTCATAATGTATGGTCAACACACCCTGCCTCAAGCAGTGGTGAGGAAGGACATGCACAAAATTTAACAGTTGTAGATCAGAGGGGTGGCTGGGAGGTTGGTAAAGCATGACCGGATATTTCAGTTCAGCTACTCACACTACTAAAACAGCTTAATCTTAGGTTTAGTGGTGGTCAGTAATTTATTATGTTTCTTTCAAATTTCATAAAAAGTATCTATTTACTCTTATAGGCATTTGTTCAATACCGATTAGAGAGAGAGATGGTAACATAGCATTAATAACCATAATTTATAAGATTTTCTTTCTAGTCCTCTTCTATCCAAAAGGCAAGAATTCTAAACTCAGATGCTTGCAATAACATAAAATTTTTATATTCACAACAGAAATGATTAAATAAGTTTTCTGCAGTTTCTAACACCAGCTTCATAGATACTAATAATTTTGGGATCCCTGTTATAAGTGAGTAGCCAGCTATTGATAGCATTTTTAGCACTGTGCATGTTAGACTTGCTCTGACAGTTAGATGACATGCTGCTTAAAATGCAGTTGGTAGCTCCTGACATTGCTACGGGGTAGCTGAACTGCAGTTAGCATCAGTGAGAAATTGTTAGCAAAATGTAAACAAGACTTAGTGTACTTTCCCTCAATATATATTGTATCTTATTAAAAATTCCTACCTACATTCCTTCGGTCTTTTTGCATTCAGTAAGGAGTCTTGAATGCTCTTATTACAAAGAGATGTTTCAAGGTAAGTAAGGTACCATTTAAAATGTTTTATTACTTAATCAGCACGTTATATTGTACCTGGGAAATACAAGGGTAACAGTGAAGAATTAAGAGCATGAAAGGCTTAAGTGAATCACTTGAGCTTAAACTAAGAAATGCAAATCTGGCTTTAAGTGCCCTTATTGATGTTTGCTTAAAGCAGATTCTTCTCTGTACAAATGACTGGGCTTTGTTGTAGATACTGAACAGGTAGCGTTCTGTCCCTTTAGAGTTTGCCTTTGTATCCTTGATGCAACCCCTCATTGCTTCAGCAGAGTGCCTGCAGAAATGCCTGGAGCTAAAATAGCTTGCATCAGTGTGTCTCATTTGATCAGCTGTGAAGAGAGAGGACAGGTCAGACAACAGCACATGCCCATTTCTGCATACTGTGACACTAAAACTACTAGAGTCTCTGGCAGCTGAAGAATAAGGGCCAATGAAACTGGAATGGAGGATTTGATAGCACAGGATGTGTGGGCACACAAAATGGCCCTGAACACTTTTGTACTTGGCAGTTTGAAAAGATGTGGCAAGCAACAAAGTTATACGATGCATAATCAACTACAGGTCATTAAACTGTACAGGTAGAGCAATACAGTAATAAGATAACCACCTATGCCTAAAGGTGATAGCATTATGTAATAAACAGTGCCATCTTCTGGGAAGAGTTGGAATCATGCCCATGTGACTAGTTCTTCTGAAGTTTTATTCAGGTGGTTTTTTTCTTTTGAACATAATACACTGCTTAAAAATTCAAACTAAAATGGGAAAAAGCTGCTGATGTGGCATTAATGTTCCAGATCCTACAACAGTGAAGTACCACGTACAAGTAGACATATCACATTTCTTTTCAAGCAGAAATTTAAAATAAAGTAACAAAAATGTAGGAGGGCAAACCATGTTCAGTTTGGTTTAAATTGCCAATATTCCATCCAGCTTTAAATCTCCAAGAGAGTGTAGTAGTTATTGAAGCATTGTTAAATTATATGGTGGTGACCTGGCATGCTATTCTATAATCAAATATACACAACTGTCTAATCTTCAATAACAAGTATTTTGCTACCTGGATTGTGGAATGTAAGTTACGAAAATGGTAGTATTTCTGCTAATGCAAGTATGTGGCATAAATATTGGGAAATTTGTTATTGCAGATTAGACAAAAGTACTATTTTTTTTCTTAGCAAGTGAAAAAGCAAACTTTTATGAGTAGCTTTTACATTTAGACAGCAGCAAGGTACTAAAAGAAAGATTCTAGAGCTATTATATGATCACATTTCAACACACTGGGAAACTAGACTGAATGTATTAAGTGTCTCTTCAGGATATCAGAAGACAATTTCTTAGAACAAAACACATGAAACATTACAAGTTTCACCTATTGTTATTGAGTTATACAGAGTATCCAAACCCCTTCTCTTTTTCCTTCATTTACTTTTCAGTGAGAATAATTAACAATATTGTTGACCATGAGATTCATATGGAGGGGAGACCTAGACTCAGAGCCTAATTCTGACAGTAACAAAAATGGCACTATACTACAGCTATCCCCTAATTGGAAAATGTGTGTATGGCAATACAATTTAATTTATACCTGTTCATTGTTTAGTGAGAGTACAAAAACAAAGATAGTTAGATATTCTTTGGGAACCAAATTCCAGATCAGGTATAAACCAATATAATTTTTTTCTGAAATCAGTAAATGTTGTGCTCATTTTTACCAGGGCTGATTTGGGTTTGGTGCTTGGATAAATCCAGCAAAATATTTCACATTGACTTCAGTAGGATTAATTCTATACTTAAAATTAAGTTTGTGCTTAAATGTTTTGCATGACTGAGGCCTAGTTTGGAGGTAGTGAAGTTGATTTATTGTTATACAATCTCTTGTTAGTTACTTTCTACAGGTTGAACCTCTCTAGTCTGGCACCCTCGGGACCTGACCAGTTCTGAACCAGAGAATTTTCCATACCACGGGAGGTCAATATTGTCTATCAGCATTACCAAAACTTTCACTGCCTACTGGACTGTTAGAGGACATTTAGGAGTAAATTAGAGCTAAATAACACACAACACTGAGAGCTAGGGCTGGTAGCTGTAAACAAACTTTATGGGACCGCAAGAAACTTGGCCACACCCATGGAAAGTGGACATTCAGCTAACTAAAATCATTCCAGACTACTGAGGTTTCCGGGCCAGAGAGTTCTGGACTAAAGAGGTTCAAACTGTAGTATATTCATCTTTCTAACCCCCCGCCTTCAGATCACACAGGTTTGGCATTCAATTAGGAGTACAAAATGAGTGCAAGTCGTACTGCTTTGCTACTTAATTTTGTTTTGTGACCAGTTTACATCAGCATTTTACATCACTGCTGAATTTCATGGACCTTGTACCAACTTACCTGCATGCTATATTTAACCTATTTGAATCCAGAATTTGAAGCTGGCTGCAGATATGAACATTGACTTTTAACAGTTGGAGACTTCATAATCAGAATAACTGCCCAAATTATTTCTTTTTATGTAATATTCAATATTGTGCATAATGAAGCACGCTAATACAAGCCCCAATAATTTAGTATTTGCATTTTTTGTCATTTAGTCTACCAACCAAGTATCTGCCACAGGTATTTGGAAGTTAGTACCTTTTCATTTAAAATCTTAAAATCATCTTTCAAACAGAGATTTAAACTTTAGCTCTATTTTTGTAATTTTTTGGTTTTTTGTTTACTTTTATCTGATATCCAGTATCAATTGTTGGAGGGCTACTTACACTTCTAATGCTTTCAGATAAATGGAAGTAAACATTCCCATAAGATTTATGTGTAATATGAATGTTTATTTCCATTCACCTTCAGAGAAATGTCTGTTTTCCTCTCTCTCAAGTCATATGCACAGGATTGGTTGATAAAACATTATTCTAACTTTCTTTCCTATTTTTCGTATGCAGGCAGAAGGAGAAGACAGCCTTAAAAAGATGCAACTAATGGAACTTGCAATTCTGAATGGCACCTACAGAGACGCCAACATCAAATCACGTAAGCATGACACAATTCTAGGAGCCAGTAGGAAAGCAGTTTCCACAGGTTTTGTTTCCCAATATTTCTCCTTTTGACTAATGCACTGATGCATATCTGTTGAAGAGACTGAGACAGTGCCATTAGTACTTTTGCAAGGCATATTGACTTTTTTCCTGTCAGTATGTCTGTATTGAAACATTTTTCAGCGAGTTTTTTTATTTTTTCATCTTGATCAAAGTTCAGCCCTAAAAGCTAGCTTTTAAGGCTGTGGCTTCACTTAAAGCATTACAATTGCACAGCTGTTCCACTGTAGAAATTCAGTATAGATGTTTTGTACAGAAACACAGTGAGTTCTCCCATTACTACAGGTATTCATTCCATCTCCCTGAGATAAGGTTGACAGAAGAATTTTCCCTCAATATGGCACAAACTTCATCAGCGACTGGGTCAGCTCAATGATATCTATCAGGAATGTGGATTTTTAACACCCATGAGGCAGACAGCTATGTCCATGTAATTTTTCAATGTAGACCAGCTCTCTTATGTTTACAAACTGTAGAAGCTGTTGTATTCCTCATAATTTTTGGTTTTTATTTCTCTGTAAAAGAAGAAAGATTCACTTTTTTTAGAGAGATTTAAGTAAATATAACTGGTTCAAGATAATGTAAATAACATATTCTATATTGTATACCTTCCTGTCATCTTGCTTGCATGTTTACCCCAATGTTGTTTTTTCAGTGGTTCTTCAACTAATTTCACATGCAGGTTCACAGAGATCAGTGGAGTGATGAGCCCTTTTGTAACAGTTCTTATTCCATTAGATTGCTTTGAGCATGCATGTACATACAGTTTTATACTTGAAACTGAATGGCATGTATTTGGTTATCAGAGTACCTGTTACATGTGCCTACTATTCTTTGATATAAACTCTTCATGTTAGAATATAAAAGCTTGTTAATAAAAACCTCAGATTTTAAAATAATTCCCAAATCTTTACTCTCAGAGATACAGGTGTCAAATTTAAGCAGTCATGTCATCTTTTTCACTAAGGGCATACTGATATTTGCAAAATATTGCCCTTATACATGTGGATTTATATTATAATTTTTAATGAATGGTCATGTGCAAAACAAACCAATGAGAGCTGTAATACCAGTTTGGTTTAACTACTTGAACATCTTCAGATGAGATCTGATTAAGGTAACCTGAAGAGAGAGAGAAATTGGACTGGTACCTTTTTTCTGATTTCTGAATTTTTTAATTAAATCTTTAAAAGCTTAAGATAGAATAGGGGCCTGCTTTTTCTTTCTCTCTCTCTCCCTCCCCCCCCCCCCCTCTCTCTCTCTCTCTTCTTCACTGTTTTGAAGGACCCAGATTTTGTGAAGGCAAAAGTTTTCCATAATCAAAGGAGCCGATTACTTAATCTTAACGAAAGAGCTTTTCTTCCTACTGTATATTTTGGCATTTGAAATAAATGTGTTTTAATAAAAACAAGCATAGCAGTTTTGAACATCGTGAATAATAAACCTGGTTCTGACACTCAGGTTTCAGTTACTTGATATCTGTGGATTGTAGGCTTTTTCTAAACAAATTTTCACAATTCAGATTAGTCTACACGTGTGCTCTTGGCCTAGTCTACTCACAAAGGCTATACTGATTTAACTATAATGGTATAGTTAAAAAGGTATGACTCCCCAAGAACATGTCTACAATTAAAACTTACTCCAGTATAAACTATATTTATCAGACATGAAGGGAAAAAACATCCATTGCCAACACAGTTGTGGGGACAAAACCCCCACATACATACAATTGTGCAGAAATAAGAGTGCTTCACTTAGCAGAGCTAATGTTGTTCAAGGAGGTGTTTGGTCCTTCACTGGCAGAAAGTTTGTTATACATTTGTGTCTGCAGTAGAGGGCTAAGCCAGCATTACACTCTGTAATTCAGGTTTATCTATACTAGTCCTTACCCTTGATCTACTATGTCATTTCAGCTACACAAATAGTGTAGCTGAAGTTGACATACTTATCATGGTGTCTTGTGTGCAGGAAGGTCAGCAGGGACTGCTCTCCTGTTGACTCCAGCTACTCTTCTTGTTCTGGTGGAGTCAGCAGGAGAGCGTTTGGAGATCAAATCGATGGCCAATGGATCAATCACTGGAGAAAAGCCTGTAGACATAGGCCTAGTGGGTTGCAGTTTTAATTATATTAAAGGGGGTATACCATTGTAGCTTCTTTTTGTTTGTAAAGGGTGTTAAGCTATTTTGGTATAACTATGTTCACACTAGGTTTTTACTGATATAGGTGGTTAAAATATAACACTCCAAATCAAAATAATTATACCATACGCAAATCGCTCTGCGCCGGCTCTTCCGGGTTGTAGTCTACTCGCCACAGGCGAGTAGATTACATTATTTGTCAAGCCCGGCCATGTGTAGACCAGGCCTAGATTGGATACTTTTCACACCTTCTATTATTTTTCTGTTATTTTTTTTAATAAACCAGACATTAAATCAGTTTAATTAAACTGGTACAACCCCGCTTTGAATACTTGTATTGGTTTCAGTGGCCCAAACAGAGCTTAAAACTGTTTCTAATTGACTTCAGGTTAAACCAAAATAAGTGTGCCCATGGAGCCAGTTTAATTAGAGCTTCTTCAAATTTTCAATTTTTTTCATCTGAACAATTTCTAACATTATTTTGAATAGACACTTTGAAGTGTGACAGATTTTTTCATTTTGACTTAACAGAAGCCTGCAAATCCAGAAGCAAAATTGGAAATCAGAAATTTCTCATTTTCAACAAAATAAAATTTAAGACTACATGAAATACTTTACTTTCATTTCAGAAATTTCCACAGAAAATGTGAAAAATTTCTGAATAATTCCAAAGGCCATATTTTTCATTGACATATTTTCCAGGAAAATGTTGGATTTTCCAACCAGCTGCAGGTTTAAGTAAATCAGTTTAAAAGTACTGTTTAAGTACAATCATTGGAATTCTGCATTTAGACAAGCCCGTAAAATCTAAGGTTGAGGATTGACCACCTGATAAGTTTTCCAACCTGTGTACATTGGTCAGTGCTAACCCTTTTTAAACAGTATTTAATTTTAATGTTTTAGGTTCACATTCTTTTAAAATACTTTTTTCCTCTAACCTACGCTTTCTGGAAAAACTGTGAAAAATACAGTATACTAAAATAATTTCTAATATAAAATGAAAGTAAGAAAATACTTTTGAAAATGGGATATAAATACCACCTTTTGTACCTATATCCTCATCACAAAGAGTCAAAAAAGGACACCCACAATTACAAGGTCATTTGTAATCCCAGTGATTCTGGAAAAGGGGATATTTATTAAATTTGAAATAGAATTTTATGGTAAGCAAAAAGTATTATGAAATCATTTTTCATTTTGTGTGACCGCTCTGTATAAGTGGCTATCTGCGGATTCTATAGTTGCACTACATTTACATTCCACGTATGACTACAACAGTATTTTTCATGTATCTTCTGCATGCGTCTTAATCTCAGACAGTCTTGAAAGCATAGGTTAAAGAAATGTTATGTAAATTTAGCTTTTATGCCGTGTAACATGTTTTAGAATTCTACTTCACTGTTTTATAATGGCTTTTTTTTATTTTGCATGTTCATACTTAATCACACTGAGAAATGGAAAGCTGTTTGCATTTGAATGGTGTGCTTTGGCACTGTGTGATCAGCGCATGTACTAATGATTTCCTTTTATTTTTCTTCTTTCCTACTTTTTCCCCTTTTTCCTATTCTTTTCACGTTTTGTACTGCTATCTCCATACTTTCTTCTAAATTTCTTTGCTTACTGTAGCAGCCCTTGCCTTTTCTCTTGCAGCGACAGCCCAGGCTCCAAGGATTATTACTGGGCCTGCGCCTGTTCTCCCACCAGCTGCCCTGCGTACTCCTACGCCAGCTGGCCCTACCATAATGCCTTTGATCAGACAGATACAGACCGCTGTCATGCCAAACGGAACTCCTCATCCAACTGCTGCAATAGTTCCTCCAGGACCTGAAGCTGGTTTAATTTACACACCCTATGAGTATCCCTATACACTGGCACCAGCGACATCAATTCTTGAGTATCCCATTGAACCTAGTGGTGTATTAGGTAAGTTTTTCTACTGAGATGATTAACTGAACTGTAGAAAATTTTCTAAGGATGCTTTATTGTGTCTTTTACTATTGTTTGACTTGAAAAGTATGAGTCATTGTTTCATTAAAACTTTGTTTTGGAAAGAGAGCTCTGACCCTAGTTTGTTTCTTTTAAAGATTGATAATTTCCCTTGAAAAATGCTTTGAATATGTTCAAGTCTTTACTTGTTTAATATAGATTGCTAAATACATATGTTTTGCAAAGGTCAATACTTATTTTGAAGCACTTCTAATTTTTTAAAAACAAAATTGTGTTTAATCAAATTGTAATACATTTTAAGTTTTTGTTCTATCAAATGGAAACATCTTTTAGACAAGAATAAAAGTAAATAGGAATTGAAATGCATAGATAATGTACATATTTTGTACTTTCCTAAATTGTAAATAAATTGAGAATAATACTTAAAGGGATCATTTTTAATTTTGTACATTTTGTGGTAACCAACAATTCTTGGGGGAAAAGACTAAAAATACTGTGTTTATTGATAGATCTGATGAATTAATCCACTGGCAGGAACCTATTAATCTGTCTTGAACAGGGAAAAAAAAGTGTTTCAGTAAATAAACTTGGTTCTTTTTAAGACAAGACTAGAGAAAAATGGAATTAGAAAAATTACTGACACCATTTTTTATAGAATTGATTGAAATGTCAATCATATCTGGTATGTCAGTCCATTGACTTGCTAGATGAAAGCTAGAATACATCTGCTGTTTTTAATGCAGTTAACCAGTCAATATTAAACTGTTTCAATGCAATTTCTCTCCTCCCTACTCCCAGAATTTGAATAATCTTTTCTCTCTGGTTCTTTTACTGAATTGTATGTGACCTTGGTGCTACATGATTCTGTTGACTTATAGGACTTTGATCTTTAAAGTTTGTTCAGCAGCAGCTATTGATTTACACAAATTCTAAAAGTCTCTAATGAACATTGGACACTAAGATTCAAAGTCAATATCTTATTGAAAGAAACACAAAAAGCCAATGCTCAGTTAAGTGAATACTACTAGATGTTCTGTGTGTGTGTACAGATTTAAATGTGGTTTTTTTGGCATTGTAGACAGAAAAGTGTACTTTTATACTTCGTCATTTTCAATTTTAGCTCTCGTCTTTTTTTTTAAAAAAAATTGAATTGGTCAAAATAATGCAGTGGACCTTTTCAAGAATAGCTTATTGCTATTGCCTAGTTTCTGAAATAATCCAAAAATGATAAATTAGTAACAGTGTAATATTTTATACCTTTTTTGCAGTCTTTTCTTTGTTACTGATAATTTTCTTTGTTACTGATAATTTTCGATCCTGTGCACATTGTTTTTCCACCTATGAGTCCTTTGTGCTGGCACTTACAGGGTCTGTTGAGGTAGTTTCACTCTAGTTGGTATCACCGTAGCCGTCTGCTGAGTCCAATACAGAATATCTCTACCTGACATAATTGATGAGTAAAAAAAATAGTGATTAAATTTGTTACTGCATGGCAATTACTTGATGCATTGCAGAGAATTTTTATGAATTTCTGGCAACATTTTCGTTTAAGAAGAGCTGGGAAGGAAGGAATTACTTTTTTAGTATATGTGTCAGTCCTTCCTGCACAGTCAGTGTTGCTTAAAGCACACAAGGGGAGGGGGAGGGAAGAAAGAGCGAGAGAGAAAGTAGGGCTATCTAAGCAAATGCCCTTTTGGCTGACAACTGAAAATGAATTTTCACCAAAAAAAAAAAAAAAACCCTTCATTTATAATACAAAGTAACCTGGGCAGTGTAGAATTACTGATTCTAATATGAAATTGAAAGTAACTTTGTTCACTCCTGACAGAACAAAAAGATTTGAAATGGTACATTGTTGAGTTTTAAGTTGTAATTCATATACATGCATACCAGTAATAGGCTTATTTTTGCCCATTTTTCTGTTGAACTATTTAGGTTTCTTAATGTAGTTCCCTTAAAAATTACAGCAATGGGTGGTGGTGTTGGTGTTGGTAGTAATGGAAAAGTCAGTATGGGCAACTAATTTTTTAATTCCCTTCCTTTTATCTGTAGGTATGGCTTTCCCAACGAAAGGCTAAGAATTCAAGAACGGTCTTAACTGAACCCTCATCAGATCTGAATTTAACAAATGCTTAGTTTCAGCAGTCTTGAAAAAATAGCCTAGCAGTCAGTGACTTACTTGCACTTTTTTTGCACATAGATATAAAATAAAATAGTGCTATTAATTTGGTTTAGTCTCTATTATTACCAAAGTAGCTATAATTTATGAGTGTATAGTAGTATACTGACTGCTAAGAGTTCTATACTGTTTGCTTTACTAATCACCTAATTCATTGCAGTTCATACTTTATTGACTTTAAATTTAAAACCACATCTGTAGGCATGAAGAATTGCTTTCAAACTTTTTCTAATGGTAGAAACTGGAAGTGGTCGTAACGGTAGCAAATTGTCAGTATTAAAAATGGCATTATTTGAAGTAGTGCTGCTGCAAAAAAAGGCACTTCATTGAATATGTGACTAGTAAAGCTTAAATATTCTTGGATCTAATAGATTTCATGAAATACTGTAATTTTGGGATTGCAAATGAGTGGATTAAAGAGATAAGGCCAGGATGTTTGATATAAATGCAATATTAATCTGCACAGATATAATTCATATATTAAGGTTAAGATTTGAAACTACTGTGCCTTAACTAGTTGCTTTCTTAAAATGAATTTTTGTAGTAAATGATCACTTAAATCCATTTTGCTAAACCTGCTGTTAATGTTTACCTTTGAATGTTTTCTAACTTTGTCTTGGTAATTGCAATTTAACTAGGTGCGGTGGCTACTAAAGTTCGAAGGCACGATATGCGTGTCCATCCTTACCAAAGGATTGTGACCGCAGACCGAGGTTAGTTTAGTTCTGCAGTTCTTTTTATAAGAAATGCTTTGAGTATACGTGAAATTTGCAACACCACAGCTGGTTAACCAAATACCATATTTTGACCCCTTCATTGATTTCTCCCCCCCCCCCCCCCCCACACACCACACCCCCCCCCCCCCCCAAAAAAAATCTAAGTAGTGACTATTTTAATAGTTTTGGAAATGCTTGCAACTTTAAAGATATGTCAATTTCTTTAGCTTTCCCATTTATTAAAATATATAAATTGTGATATATTTAAAATGTTGTAACTGATTTCTTTTGTAAAAACTATAGAATTCAGCTTCATCAGGAAATATTCAGAATTCATTGCTATATTAGTTAATTGGTTTTCACCTCAAACTTGCTCTTTTAATTGATGTGGAAATATCAGATTGGTGTTGCAAAAATAAAATGAATGGATGAGCGCTTAATGAGAAGGAAGTAAAGGAATAAATGCCTCCTGTATGGAGAAAACTGAAGATTTAGATTCCTTTTTTTTCTAATAAACTATTTGAGCCATTGTACTGTATAACTCTAAAAGTAGAATCATGTTCTCAGATAGCTAATTTAATTCAATAAAATAAGGACTGTGAAGATTATACTTCAAAAGTTTGTTGGGTTTGAGTCAGTAAAGATGGTATTCTTCTATGTTCTTTTGCTAAAATGGATTTCTTGGTATTTGTTGTTTGCTGCTAAAATACATTGTCTGAAGAAGCAACTTTTGAAGTCCTGTTGGTGAGATGACATCCAGTATTTGGACATCTCTTTTAACTAACCAGGGAATGGAAATAAATCTTCATTTTTCTCCTGTTCATGCAATGTAACTTATCATCTGTGTATGGCCTTGGACCCTTGAATGGATTACTTAAGCTTATTAAGAAAAGTGATGATTTTGGTTTATTGACATTGGGTTGTTCATTGACTAGGAAGTAGTGCAGATTGTGCAATGTAACACCCAGCCTCCTAGCTAAACTCTGCCATTGACTTCCTGTGTAAGTTTTGGCAGGTCACCTTCCCATCAGTAAAGTAAGGATAATAATACTTTCCTACCTCATAAGGTGTTGTGTGGAATAATGTACAATGCTTAAAAGATGCAAAGCATTTTGAAACTGCTAAGTATTATTATCCTAAGGACCTGTTTTCAGCAAAATAGGATATCCACTGGCTTCATTGATTTGATATTCGTAAAGCCAAATTCAGACGACAGGCATGTCTACTCCTATCATAGAATTTAGCTTATACACTCTATAATTTAGATTATGCCTCTACTTCTATTAATTCATTAAGATCTGCGTCAGAGTACCATGGAAACCACGAACATCAATTCCAAAGAGAGGGGCTCTCTTAGGGTATGTCTACACAGCAGCATTATTTTGGAATAACTGACATTATTTCGAAATAACAGAATGTGCATCTACACCAGTGGTCACCAGCCAGTAGTTTGGGATCTACTGGTAGATCTTGGAGCCTCCAGCACTTCAGCTGCAGCACTGCTGCACATCTCCTGTCCTTTGCCTTAAAGCTGTCCCCTTTACTGGGCAGGGAAAGGAGAGGAGAGGGCCCTGATGTTAGGGTGCCCCCTCTCCCATCCTGTAGCCTATCTCCACAGAATCAAGGGGGGCACAACAGGGCCTAGGATGGAGGGAGTTTACTGGCTGCTTTTGAGAGTGGTACAGGACCAGGGTAAGGGTGAGCCTGCCTTAGCCCCACTGCACCACCTGTGGCATGCAGTGTCCAGCTGGAGCCTGCATCCTGAATGCCTGCCCAGTGATAAACCCCCTTCTGCACCACAAGCCTAGCCCTGAGGTCCCCCCCAACCCAAACTCCCTTACAGAGCCTGTACCCTGAACCCACTCCTACACCCCCAACTCCCTGCCCCGGCTCAGCTCAGAGAAACTCCAAATCTCTTAACCCACAACCAGAGTCTGCCCCCCAACCCTCTGCCCTTGCTTGATGATAGGAAGGAAGAATGGGGGAGTGAGGGAGGATGGAGTGAGCAGGGGTGGGACCTTGGAGAAGGGGAACAAAAGAGGCAGGGCAAGGGTATTTGGGTGTGAGAGAGATCCTGGATTGCACTTAAATTCAAAAAGGTGATCTTGTGCTTAAAAAGGTTGGAGATCACTGGTCTAGAATATACATTAAGAGCCCTGCACGAATACAAAATGTATATCCACACCCATATCGATATCCACGAATATGAACTGGATATCTGCGTCCACATTCATGTATGTAGATATCTCTTGATATAAAGCAGATATCTGTTGATTTGCAGGTCTCTACTGATTGTTACACAAGCCTTACAATAACGGAGAGATAGAGGATCTAAAATCCACCACCCTGAAGCCTTACTCCCAAACGCACGCCAGTCTTCACATTTCAAGAAATTGAGTCCCCTCTCCCTCAGAGTTAAATTTGTTTATCACAGAGAACAGGGAGGGATAATTTAATCACAGTGTATAAGTACCTATCTGGACAAAATAAACTGATAAGAGGGCTTTTCAATCTAGCAGACAAAGGTGTAACAAAATCCAATGAGTGGAAGTTGAAGCTAGACAAATTCAGACTAGAAATAAGGTGTAAAGCAGTGGTCACCAACCAGTAGATCGGAATCTACTGGTAGATCTTGGAGCCTCTGACAGGTGATCCTAACTGGTTTGGCCAAGAGGCGATCAAGTGCCGGCACTTCAGCTGCCCCTTCCCTCACTGCTGCTCATCTCCTGCCCTTTGCCTTGGAGCTGACCCCCACCCAGGTAGCCTCCTGCTTGCTGGGCAGGGGAGGGAGAGGAGGTGCACTGATGTCAAGGTGCCCCTTCTCCCACTCTGTATCCTATCTCCACAGAGCAGAAGGGGGGCACAACAGGACTTGGGATGGAGTTTGCTGGCTGCTTTTTGGGAGTGGTGCGGGGCCAGGACAGGGGCAAGCCTGCCTTAGCCCCACTGCACCACCACCCAGGAGCCACCTGAGGTAAGCAGTGCTCAACTACATCCCAAACCCCTACCCCAGTAATGAACCCCTTCCTATTCCCCAAGTCCCTGCCCTAGCCCTGAGCACCCCTGCATCCGAACCTTCTCTTGCACCCCAACTGCCTGCCCCAAGCCCCTCTCACACTTTAAATCTCTTTAACCCAAGACCAGAGCCTGTACCCCAGCCTGGTGAAAGTGAGAGAGGATGGGGAAGGAGGGAGGATTGAGTGAGCAGGGGCAGGGCCTCAGAGAAGGGGCACAAAGGAGGCAGGGCAAGGGTATTTGGGTACAAGGTAGATCTTGGATTGCACTTAAATTCAGAAAGTGATCTCTTGCTTAAAAAGGTTGAACACCACTGATCTACACAGCAAGCCATTATTTCGAAATACTCTCGAGATGGAAGACTTTTTAGTCTGACTCCTGTAACCCTCATTTCACAAGGAGTAAGGGAAGTCGAAGAAAGAGGGTTTCTTCCTTTGACTTCCTGCTGTATAGACAACACCAAAAGCTGAGTTAAGCTATTTTGACTTCAGCTACGCAATTGACATAACTGAAGTTGCGTATCTTAATTTCTTTTGACCTGCAGTATAGATGTGCCTTTAGATATGTATTACATTTTATGTAGTCCTTTACATTTTAATGTTTTAGGAAAGGCACAGATATATAAAAAACTATGGTTACCTGGAAAATTGCTTTTCCCCTTACATCCCATCACAGTGGTTAGTCTGCTGGGTTGTTCTTATTCTTTGTCCACGTCTTCATTGCATAAAGACCTGCTGAATTGAATGCTGAGGGCATCCCTGTCTGCACCAGTACTACTCCTCCTCGTGAGGACTAAGGAAAATCTATGGGAGTGTTTCTCCTGTCAACCTCCTGCTGTGATGACTGTGCCGAAGTGTTTTTTTTTTTTTTTTTTTACATAGCTGGAATTGTGTACCTTAAGCTGACCTTCCCTTATAGTGTAATGCTGGCCCATGTTGAAAGATGGTCAGCAAGGCATTTTGTATACAAGGCCTTTGTCTCTAAAATCTGCTCCTAGTGATGGTCTCTGAGCCCAGATTTGGTGTCCTTCATGCCACAGTTGAAAAGCTTATTTGTTTAGGCAGGTATTTCCCTTGAACAGCTGGTGCCTGAATCTTTGTAGCAGGGCATGGAATTTTTAATCTATTGGCTACTTGATTTGAATAGGCCAGAGTTGTAGTAGTTATTAATTTTTTATATTTTTAATTTGTGTCAGCTGTACAGCTGCCTTGGCAGTGGTTGCAATTATAAATCATTGAACTGAAAGTAATAAATAATGGGATAACTTCACTTTCTACAGAAATAGCCCCTTCTTTGATGGTAGATTGTCCATCTGTACAACTCTTCAAAGTTAATTTGTATGTTTTAAAAAAGAATACAAGCAGATGTTCTCTGATGAACGACACACATAGTTCTGTGTCCTGTATATTTTTTTAATTAAAACTATGCTGATAATTTCTGATGAACAGAGTTTTAAATAATCCTTACCTTACATTACAAAAAATAGATTGCAAAAATAGGTTACACTATTTCATTTTATTTCAAGTTTTAAAACATCAGATTTTGCACACTTTTTGGAAGTTTAGGAGGAGGATAACTTTTGGAAAGAATAGCTTTTGGCATATTACAACCAATTTATAGAAGAGGTTTAATGTGGGTTTTAAAATTTGGCTCTAAAATTTAAATACCAAAATTTGATCAACATTGTACCTTCTGTGCAATTTATGACACACATGGATTATGTTGCCATTATTGATATTTAAAAAACAATGTCAACAAACCAAAATACTAGTTTTTTTAACATGAAAGAGTTTTAAACAGATGTCAAATATCACTTAAAATAAGCATGCATTCTTTGGGTCTAGGAGTACAAGCAACTTTTAAACTGGTTCTCATATTATATAGTACTACTGTATTCACTCTCTGAGTGTGTTTTCATTTTTTACATAGCTTTTTAGGGATAAGCACTGCGTTTAAAACAAGAGCCCCCAAACATGTTATTCTTATAACCAAACATTTATAATTGGTGAAGGATTGACAAATATAGTTCACTTCTACTAAGAATAAGATCCTGCTCTATAAATAATCCAAAACTGAATTTGATTCATAGAGAGACTGACTGATTTTAATTGTAATAAACTGTAAATGGTGTTGCACAGTTGACAAACCTGTGTGTACTGTAGAGGCCAGGGACTTGGCAGAGGATGTATCACAGGTGTTTTGGTATCTTAAAAAGGTAGCTTGCTTTGATTATATACTCCACAAGAAATATTAATGCTGATAATTTTTCTGAATGTTTTTATCAAAACCAACTGTCACATAATTTATATATATAAAATTTTAATACCATTTTAATCAAAATTGCAATCAGTATAAAAATGCTTTAAGATTCTGTATTTCTCGTATACCTGTAAAGTGGTGAGATTGTGCCACACTAAATATTTATTTTTATTATTTTTGGCTTATATTTGCAACAGCAGTTTTAATTAAAATCCCACTTAGCAGAATTTTGAACAAATTCAGGGATTATGTGGTCTCATTTAAGCTACAGTAGTAATTTTTAGTGCTTATAAACTGTATCCTAAATGTAGGCCATAGAAACCATTATTATTATGTGAAGGTAAATCAACCCATGATATAGATTATTAAAAATATGCTATCTGTGAACATCACACCTACTAGATTTCATTTTATGAAATGGCACAAATCTGACATTGCACTGAATACCTTTCTCACTTTCATCTCCTCTGCCTTAGTCAGAATGGCAACAGTACAAAAACTCAAACCTCAGAATTTATTAGATATGATTAAGCTGTTGAACAAGTCTTAAAAATTGTACTACTGTTAAGTGGACCAAGTTTGGTGAAGGACAATGTGAGAGAGAATGATTGATTAAAGAAGGAACAACTCAAGAACATTGGGAATGATAACTTTCCACTTGAGAACTTTTTTATGTTTTACTGTAATTTTTTTGTTTGTTTGTGGTTTTTGTTTGGTTTTTTGTTTGTTTGTTTTTTGCAAAAGAAAATAGTATTTACAGGTGGCTTCTTTTAAAATATAAAAATATAAAGCAGGAA